AAATTCCTTTTCCAATTTTGTTAAGTTTATATATATGAGTCATTAATACCATGTTTTTGGCCCAACGGATAATATATTTACGAGATTGTTGATCATAGTTTACGAAATCAAAAGCATCTGATCCATCCACAGTTTTCTATTAGACGTAAAAGATCTTCAAGGCCTCTTACAATGCCTACAAATGCATTAAAATAAATTATGGTCATTCCTTATCTCTAAATATATATATTTTGGTTAGAAATTAAGACAAGAGAGAAAAAGAAACAAACCTCAACTAGTTTGGGCTCAGTGCTCAAATAAAGTTAGTGAATGACTCTCTCCTGCTCCCTTTTTAGACACTCATCGCACTGCAATATAAAGTTACTGACATTAGTTAATATATGTATTTACTTTCCTGAAATCGAATTAAAAAACATATATAGTCGGCGACATGCCTTTAGCAAGTAATCAGAACTAGAATACTCCTTCATCCACATTGATGCCTTGGAAGAATAGTAAGATACAGTCTCTTGAAGCATGACTCTTTCAAAATCCTCTTCATATCTCCCCATTGTTCCCATCCCATTTTCTACATAGACTTCTAATACGTTTTCCACTAGTTCCCTATCAATCTCTTCGCCCTCACGTTCTTTATGAAGCAGCAACTTGTATGTGTATAAATACTACCTTTAACATATGAAATAAACACACTTTACATTCTATTCTATTCTATTTCAGAAGCCAAGCCAAAGAGTGATGGTGTCAACCGATACCCTCCTTTGGTGTCGGTCGATACCGTTCAAACCCGGCACATACCCTTGTTATCTAATTGGTACATATTTTGTTTTTAAAACTATTTTAACGAATTATTTATCGTCTTAACTATATTATGAAATCATTCAACTCTATAACTAGATCATCAAATGATTTTGTACATTGATTGGGTGTATTAATCTTTCAAAGAGTCATTTACATAATTTATGTTTAAAATGAAATTAGAATCAACCGCATACAAATACATACAGTAAGACCTCATAAATTAATAATCATCATAAATTAATAATTTTTATCCATCCCAAGTTAGACAGGTGTAATTTTAGACTCAATTTAATAATATAATAAAATAATATTTTTTTTGAAAACTTTTTGTAAATATATGGTCCCATCAATATGCTAGTGAAACAAGAAAAAAATTGATGAGGAGCAAATCCTATTGAATTGGAAGGAAGTCATTTCATGAATTAAGGGTAACACTTGAGCTTCTCATTTCCTCCATCCTTCTTTAAGATCTCAAATGCATCTTTCACTGCCTACAATTCATTAAAAGAAACATGCATTTAATGTGCATTCAGAAATAACCAAATCTAAAATGATTAACTTCGAAATATGATTAATTCAAAATAAGTATATCATAGCCAACCTCAACTAGTTTGGGTTCAGTGCTTGAATGGAGGTAGTGAGTGACTCTCTCTTTCTCCTTTTTTAGATACTCATCACACTGCAATATAAAATTATTGACGTTAATGATATATTTCCTTACCTGAAATCGAATCAAAACATAGTTGGAGACACACCTTTAGCATGAAATCAAGACAAGAATCCTCCTGGATCCACCTTGACACTTTGCCAGAATAGTAAGATGCAGTATCTTGAACCATGAAGCTTTCGAAATCCTCTTCATATTTTTCCAAATTTCCCATCCCAATTTCCACATAGATATCTAACACGCTTTTCACTAGTTCCCTATCAATCTTTTCGCCCTCCCGTTCTTTATGAATCTGGCAAATACAATATGTGTTACATAGAAACAACACTTAGGCTGAACCAGAGATCTTTTCATTACAAACACCAAATACTTACAAGTGCTAATACAGCTTCTTTGGCAGTGGAGTGCATCTCACGATAAACCTGCGGTCAATAATTGCATGGACGGTTACAAAAATGCTTGAGGGAGTTAGAAATATTTAGAACCTATAGGAATTTGCATGACTAACCAGGTCGCGGAAGCATATCAAACCAACTGTTTTCAGTGGTGAAAGGGATAGCCGAGGGATATAGAAACGTTCAATATATTCGAAGAATCTTGCTAACCATTTAACCATAATATTATGGTTATTCCACCTCTTAATAAGCTCTTCTAACATATCATTACCATGCTTCTCCCTTAAAGACGGCAACACCTAAACAACATATATAAAAGAAATATTAAAAGGCTAGACTATGTTTTATTATTTGCACAATATCCAAGAATCAAGCCAAGACATAACAACTTTGGTACTCACAGTTTGGATAGTATAATCTTCAATTACTTGGCGATACTTTTCGTAATGCTGCTGTGAGTAATCAAAGTATTTCTGGGTGCACATATCGTAGACAGTCCTGTGAATCACATAGACAAATTAAGTTTTGTAGGTATATATAGTCCTGTTAACAAGCAAACATTACATATGAAAACCTACGTACGTACGTGTAAAGATCCACATATTGCGTTGGTGTAAATTGTGGTTCAGGCTCTCCTTCTAAAATTTTTGTCATCTTGGTAATACCTTCCTGCATGCAAGACCATCCTTCCTCAAAGCTAAGCATCCTTGTACTAGAATCTGTTGCAAGCAATCACCTTAGCAATATACATAATTAAGATAATTAATTACAATAGAGTTTAATTAGCTTTTGAGAGGTTATCACTATCGTTACTTTAGAAACCACCTTAACGATACTAATTAAACCTAAACTAGTTAGCTTTTTAGTTTATCTCGAACCATAAACTAAAACTCATTAGATTACCAAACTTAATAACAACAACAAAAGATGTTACGCCAAGAAATTAATCAACAAGTAGCGGAGGTAAAGGCTAAGAAGCTAAGACGTCACCTAACTGAAGACTCTGAAGAGTATCGAATCCGATTTCACGATGAGACTTAGAGCCAACGATGAAGTGTGTTGCGTGTCTTAGTAGAAAAACAAAAGTTATTATTTATAGAGCCAACGATGAGACGGCGGTGTTAATTTTTTTTCTTTTCTTAACAAAACAGGAAAAGGAATATCAATCAATATTTTACAATTGCTATTTACGAAACATACAATTTCTATTTAGATAATTTTTTTTTCAAAATTAAAAACAGATTGTTTATTTTGCTACAAAAAATAACATAAACGTAAAAAAAAAATTCTCTAAAAGGAAATTTTATGTTTCTTAAATAGCAATTGTAAAATATTAATTGAAATTTCTTTTCCAATTTTGTTAAGTTTATATATATGAGTCATTATTATGTTTTTGGCCCAACGGATAATATATTTACAAGATTCTTGATCATAGTTTACGAAATCAAAAGCATCTGATCCATCCACATTTTTCTTTTTCCCTCAGGATATTATTATGGCAAAAGTCCTCTTGCCTAAATAAGTTCAGAATTTTGTATTAGACGTAAAATATCTTCAAGGCCTCTTGCAATGCCTACAAATGCATTAAAATAAATTATGGCCATTCAGTATATATTTTGTTTGGAAAATAAGACAAGAGAGAACAAAATAAAGAAACAAACCTCAACTAGTTTGGGCTCAGTGCTCAAATAAAGGTAGTGAATGACTCTCTCCTGCTCCCTTTTTAAACACTCATCACACTGCAATATAAAGTTACTGACATTAGTTAATATATATGTATTTACTTTCCTGAAATCGAATTAAAAAGACATATATAGTTGGGGACATGCCTTTAGCAAATAATCAGAACTAGAATACTCCTTCATCCACATTGATGCCTTGGAAGAATAGTAAGATACAGTCGCTTGAAGCATGACTCTTTCAAAATCCTCTTCGTATCTCTCCTTAGTTCCCATCCCATTCTCTACAT